TGATGGTAGGTGACGCTACGGCAGCCAGCCTCTGCGCAGACCGCATGGGGAGTTGCCTCAAGATGAGACATGACACCCTGTAAAAGGGCACCGGAATGAGGGAGGCCATTGCCCTCTTCGTCCTCCGAGTCGGAGTCCATGCTGGACAAGGCCAGTGCGGAGGCCAGCGATCGTGCTGTAGGATGGTCGAAGAGCATCTGAAGGTCTACCTGCTGCAGCGAAGGCTGCATTCGCATCTGAGAAATGAGGCGTCCAAAGCCGCCAGAGTCCACCCCTAGGTCCTCCATGAAGTGGGAGTTGCAATCCCACCTGTCCAGATTCTGGCCCAGCTGCGGAGCCAAGCAGGCTGCAATCTCTTGCTCAAGCTTTGAGGCACCCTCTTTCACAAAGGCATCCCAAGCATCCTTCTTCTGCCCTACTTCGCATCCGCTAGCATCGTCCAGCGGCACTGCATTGCGCAAGAGCTTCCCGGAAGTGTTGAACTTCCAAGCATCGTTCTCCACGATCTTTGCCTCGGCTTGCACATGCTTACATGATCGTCGAGATTTACGATGGTACTTCGGCTTCAGCGGATACAGCTTCTCGGGGCACCTGGCTGAGAACGTAGCCACGGCCCAGGGCAGCCGCGGTCGCTTTCAGCTCTGCCTCCGACAGCTCTGCGGCACCCGAGGCCAGCAAAACCTGCCAGTTCCAATAAAAGCTGCTGGCAAGACACGGCTACTTATGCATCAAGCGTGCAAGAGGCACAGCTCTGAAGTGGTGGACCTTGACAGCCTCTGAGCCCGCGGCCAAGCGCTGGTCCAAGACCCGAGCTTCGCAGTGCTTCACATTGGGAAGCTCGGTGATGGCCTTGGCGGAGCAGCGGAGCATAGCGGAGCTGCAGAGCTAGGCCTGATGTCCAAAAATCCTGCCTGGCCTGCTCCAGGGCTTCCAACTCGATTCGGATGCCACGCACTTTGACCTGCCAGTCCACCCGCCCATGGTAGTGAATGCGGCCGGCTGCTCCTCGAGATGCCAGGTCTCCCGTGTTGTAGACCTGGGCTGGGAGACGCTTCGATGCCGAGTTACCCACGCCCTTCTTGTGGTGGAGGCCGAGACACACGGCCGATGCCGGGCAGTTCAATGAACTTGAGCTTTGTCTTCTCCTCCTCCTCTAGGTAGCCTCGTGCTAAGCCAATGCCTCCCACAAAGAGGACACCACGCTCGCCCTCGGCTTTCACTTCCATTGTCTCCGGATCCAAAATGTAGCATTGATACGTTGGCAGCTGTGCACCGATCGTGATCACATCGCCAGTCTTCACGTAGCCACCGGTGCAGACTACAGAAATCTCCGAGGGCCCATAGCTGTTGAAGAGCTGACGTCCTGGTGCCCAGGTCTCCACGACATCTGCAGCCAGGGCTTCGCCGCCGACATCGAGAATTCGAAGGTGTGGAAGCCCGTTCAGCATCCGAGACACGTCGGCTCCTGCGAGGGAAGAAAGAAAGACAGACGCGCACGGGCCGAGGCTACGAGCGCATCGAAGCATCTCCTCCACCCGCCATGGTGCGCAAGTGGGAAGGCACCACACTCATGCCAGTGATGTGTCTCTCTTTCAACCACGCTTGCATGTCGGGTCCCATCTTGACCATGTCGGGGCATGTTACGCTCGTGGCTCTGGCGGCCATGGTCGCGTAAACCTCGATGACATGGACATCCCAGGACATCGAGGCCACCTGGGCAAAGCGATCCCTGTCGTGCAGGCCCACTTGCCTGCCCCAGATGCGAACGACATTCAGGGCCGACTTGTGCCGGATCATGACTGCTTTCGGCTTGCCCGTGGAGCCACTGGTGAAGATGAGATAGGCCAACCTGCTCGTGCAGTGGAACAGGAGGGGCCAGGAGGGGGTGGGGAGGTCGCGTCAAGAAGCCACATGGTGTGATGCCCATGGCCTGTCGTGATCTTTTGGCGAGTGGCATGGAGGATGGGGGAAGGAGTTGCCAACTGCCTTCTGGAGTGCCCGATCAACATCTAGGACCATTCTCGGGAATTCGCCGAGAGCTGCTGCCACATCCATAATCCCCAAGTGCCGCAAACTGGCATCGGATGAAATCATCACGGGAGGCTGAGCGACCTCGATCCAGGTTCGGAGCTTTTCGACCGGTTCACAAATGTCGAACGCATTGTAGGCGCATTTCTCCAACATCACGGCATGAACCGAAGCAATGCTTTGAACGCCCCGTGGCAGGACGATGGTGACCTGACCGGAGCGCACGCCGCACACACAAAGTCCAGCAGAGTCAAGAAGAACAAAAACACCGTGGTGCCGTCGGGCCGGGCAAGCTTAGAGGCGGCATCTAAATAGTCTAAAGCTAAGCCGCTATGTGCTCGTCGGCTCGCCGCTTGTGTGCGTCAGGTGCCTCCGAGTCTGACTCCGTCGGAAGATCCAAGGCAAGCAAGGCTTTTCGCAGGACTTTCCGGATTGCATCCGCCATCTGGGCCACCTGACTGCGGCGCTTGACAGTTTTCATTCATGCTTGAGTCTGCAACCCTGTAGCTGCCCTTTCTGCCCCCAGGCCTGCATGAAGGTATAACAACCATCTTGCGTCTCCAAGCATACACCGTCAGGCTTTTCCAGGGCCGCGGTGGTCAACAGCTCACCAAGGTTCGTTTCCACTCCCGGCATGCAGCTGTATCCATCGATGTCTGTGGTGAGAGCCAATTCCTCAGGAGTCGGTGCCATGTCCTCGAAAGCCATCAGTCTCAGCTGCAAAAATCTCTACACTCTACACGCCAGCGAAGCTCGGAGAAGGACCTGAACTGGTCGAGCCAAGAACAAATTCCAACATGTGCTAACTGCACGGAACTATCATGGAACATGAGTTGTGGGGCCATGTTCTCCACACAGCAAAGCCCCGCATAGCCCTTTGCCGATACCAGTACGGTGAAACGATGAAGCCCG